CACAAACCAGCCACACCACCACCACTGCGCAACTACAGCAATCACAGCCCAGCCACCATCACAGCTTCACCGACAACTCAGCAAACCAAAACCAATCATCGCAACCAGCGCAAGTCACCGACTGCCTAGCCAAAAACAACCGCCGAAAGCCACCGACTGCCCATACCGACCAGTCCAAACAACCACCGTAGGATTGCAAAAGCAAAACAACCAACAACAACCTCACCGACAGCCTACCGAAACCAGCATCCCACCGAAATCGAAATCGAAACCGAAACTGAAACAGCAAGCAACAGTCCACTACCTTCACCGACAGACCAGTCTGCCAAAGCAATCCAAGAGAACAAATAAACTCAGACCAGGAAAAAAAAAATCAGTCCAGTCCAGTCCAGTCCCAAACCCAATCCAGTCCCAAACTCAGTCCAATCCAGTGCAGTGCCAAACCAGTCCAATCTCAAACCCAACATATACCACACACTGCCTGCCGAAACAACATATATCAGCCGACTGCCTCCATCACACTATCCAACCGAAACAACATACACCCCACCGACATATTAAATTCATACCCAAGTCCACCAACATCACAGTGTATCTAGGATTTTTTAAAGAGGGGATGAATCCTCTTATCCAATGATCTACCCTTTTTAAAGAGGGGATGAATCCTCTTATCCAATGATCTACCCTTAATGCAGTAGATCACTTATTTATATATTTTAGATTTCTGGGCACCGTGACCTGATTATTTGGGAGCCTTTTTTTTTTTGACCTTTTTTATTTGTCGCTACTGTTCGACTGAAGGTATATTGTTCTCCCTTATTTTATTCCTCTATTTATCTTAGAGTTATTTTTCTGTCACGGGTGCCCTAGTATTGTTGTTGATATGGCTACTACTGAGGGACTTGAGAACCCTACTGTTGACACCTCTACCGTTGAGACATCTATGGGTACTTCCACTTTTATGTTTGACCAGTATACAGTGCCTACTAGCACAGTTGCATTACCAGCATTACCGGGCATGATCTCTCAAAAAGTTACGGCACAATTGTTGAATGGTCGTAACTTCGCTGAGTGGTCACGCTCATTCCAGCTTTTCTTAGGCCGTGTAGGGAAGCTTGGTTGGCTGACGGGATCTCACCCAAAGCCAGCTGATGCCGACCCTGGATATTCTGCGTGGTTCTCTGAAAACTGTGCCATTCTTGGATGGTTATTTGGCTCAATGGAGCCCTCTGTTTGCAAGATCCACCAGTTTCATAGCTCTGTTCCGAAGCTATGGAGCGCATTATCAGAGATGTATTCTCAGTCAGGACGGGGAGTTCGTGTTTATGAGCTTTCTCAGGAGCTCTCATATGCTCGGCAGGGAGATATGACCGTTCAGGATTATTATGGCTATTTGACCCAGCGCTGGCTTGAGTATGAGTCTCTACGTCCTCTTGCTGCTATTCCGAAGATAGAGCCCGAGGGAGCAGCATTCTTGCATACTCGAGAGCAGGAGGATAGGATTCACAAGTTCCTTATGGGGCTTCGTGATGAGTTTGAGGGACCTCGTTCTCAGATCTTGTCGATGTTGACACTTCCTTCTCTTTATGAGGTGTATGGGATGATTGAGCAGCATGAGCGTCGAGTCCGTATTGCATCACTTCCAGTTGCAGCTTTGACTCCTTCGATTGACCAGATGGCCCTTGCAGCTGCTGTAGGGTCCCGTTCAGGATCCTTAGTCAGGGATGGGCAACGCTCAGACCAGCGCCGTCAGGGCGCCCCAGATCAGCGCAGACGGGGGGATTCCCGTCAATGTGATTATTGTGGCCGACCAGGACATCTCAGGGCTACTTGCTGGAAGCTCCATCCAGAGCTTAAGCCACCTTCTCGCAGCCGTACTGTTGCTATTGCTGAGGTACCACCGCCCACTACCGCCACTCCTGCTACTGCTCCTCCTTGGCAAAGTGATATGGATGCTATCACTTCCCGATTAGATATACTTATGTCTGCTCTGACTTCTCAGAGTCTGACTACTGCTGCTGTCACCACTACAGGTATATCTCGTGCCTTTCACGCTTGTGCCAGTTCATCTCCCCTTTGGATGTTGGACTCGGGTGCGAATGGTCACATGACAGGTGAGGCCCATCACTTCACCACTTTTGACGAGCCGTTACATACACAGGTTCAGTTAGCAGATGGAACACATGCCCCTATTGTTAGTAGGGGTACAGTCCGTCTCCCAGATGGCCTTACATTACATTCGGTTTTTCATGCGCCAAAGTTGGCCATGAATCTATTATCTGTACATCAGTTAGCCAGAGATTTTCACTGTGCGGTTGTATTCTTATCTGATTCGTGTTATTTGCAGGACCTGAGTACCAGGAGGATTATTATCAAGGGACATGAGAAAGATGGACTGTATTATCTTGGCAATCCATCTCCAGTTTCACCAATTCCTTCACCTGCACCTGCTTTGTCTTTTTCTGTTCCTAGCTTGCATGCTAGTATTTTACCTAGTAGTTGTCGTTATGATTTTTCGTCACAAACTGTTCAATTGTGGCATGACCGTTTTGGACATACAAATTTTAAATATTTATGTATGTTGTTTCCTGCTTTGAGTAATGCTTGTGTTGGTGGTAAACTTGATTGCGTTATCTGTTCCCTATCAAAACATGTTAGGGCCAATTATATTCCTCGCATGCACCAGTCACCCAAGCCATTTGACCTAATACACTCTGATATTTGGGGACCCTCTCCCGTTACTGCTCTGTCAGGTGCCAGATATTATGTGACATTTATAGATGATCATACCCGTTGTACTTGGGTCTACCTTTTGCATAGGAAGTCTGATGTGCTCCCTATAATCACTCAGTTTTTACAGATGATTAAGACACAATTTGATGTCATTGTTCGTGCTCTTTGTTCGAATAATGCCAAAGAATATGTGTCTGATGCTTTAGTGTCTCACCTTTCTTCTCAGGGTATCCTTCAGCAACTCACTTGTCCATATACTCCTGAGCAAAATGGTGTTGCTGAGAGGAAAAATAGGAGTTTGATAGGGATGGTACGTTGTCTGCTTAGAGGCATGAGGGTACCAAAATCTTATTGGCATTTTGCTGTTTTGACTTCTACCTTTCTGTGCAATCGTACGCCGAGTCGTGTTCTTCAGCATAAGGCTCCCTTACAGGTCTTATTTCCTGAGCGGACACTTTTTCCGGTCCCCC